AACAATAGCCTAGAAGTACATTGAATACCTACCTGCTTTCTTTTCTCTGAAAGTTAAACAATTTTCTAGTTTTTTGTAAATTGCACATAAGGAAAACAATATACTTTCATTAAGAAGTCCCAAATGCAAACACTTAGAGTGACTTACTCAAAGCAGTGAGAAATTGCCTTGATAACATAGCTGCTTTTATCGGAGAAAAGAAGCTTGTGTAGAGTTTCATAGAACACACGCATAAGATACAATAAGTTCTTACATAAATAACTACCAAGGGTAAATATTTCAGTGATGTACAGAAAGAAACGATAAGGTGCATTAATTACAACCTTGCTTATCTCTAAGAAAACAACCATAAGTTACCAAATTTTATAAAGATATTCCAAAGACACATTGTTAGAATTACTTATACAGAGAAGACACAAAATCCATTGATGACAAACTTGCTTTTCTGAAAATCTGAAGCAGTATTTAGAGTTTCCCGTCATATTCACAGAAAAAAGATAATGTTCTTTCTAAAGAAGTTTCAAATGGGACAATAACCCTAAACCTACCCCTGGAAAAAACCCTAAACCTAACCCTATACCTTCCCCGAATCCCTAACACTAACACTAACACGAAACCATAACCCTCACAAGAAACCCTAACGCAGCCGATGCTGAAACTGTATCCCTAACGCCAACACTATCCTTGAAGAACATTGAATATACGCTTGCTTTCTCTGAAAAATAAGTGTTTCTAGTTAACTATGAATCGCACATAAGGAACAATAACTACATGCATAAAGAACTTCCAAAAGCAAACATTTTCAGTGAATTACACAAAAAGGGAGAAGCAGGGTGTGTTGGTTCATACCTGTAATCCTAGCACTCTAGGGGAACGAGGCGGGCTGATTCCTAGAGGCAAGGAGTTCGAAACACAAAGATGGGAGAAATTGCATTGATAAAACAGTCTCTGAGAAATGAAGCAGTGTGTAGAGTTTCATACAAAACACATATAAGATAAATGAGTTCTTAAATCAATAACTTCCTAAGGTAAATATTTACAGTGATTTACACAAGAAGCAACAATGTGAGTTAATTACACACCTGCATTAAATTAGAACTGAGATAATGTGTAGAATTTCCTAGAAAACAACTTAAAGTTAGGATAAGTTATATCATACATATATTAAAAGGATATATATTAACAGATAATTACACAAAGAAGGGACAGAGTATATTCCTAAAAACTTACTTTTCCTGAAAAATTGAAGCAGTGTTTACAGTTTAATGTCCCATTCATAAACAACAATATTGTGATCGTTCTAAAGAAGTTCCATATGCCACACTAACCCTAACTGTAGCTCAAAACACTAACCCTAACCCTAGCCATGCCCCAAACCCTAATCCTAACATGAAAATGTAACCATAATGGTGTGTTGAGCGAAACCCTAACTCTAACCGAAAGTGAAACCGTAAACCTAACCCTAAAAATCCAAGAATTACATTATATATGATACCTTTTCTCTGAAAGATAGTGTTTCTAGTTTCCTATGAATCGCACAACGAGAACATATCTATATTCATAAGGAAGTTCCAAATGTAAACATTTAGAGTGACTTACAAAAAGAAGCGAGAAATTGCATTGATAACACAGTAACGTGTCTGAGAAATGAAGCAGTGTATAGGTATCATAGAAAACACACAAAAGGTACAATCAGTGGTGACATATATAACTTCAAAAGGTAAATATTTCCAGGGACTTAGACAAAGAAGCGACGAAGTGCATTAATTAAACCGTAGCTTTTCTGGGAAAACAGAAGCATTGTGTCGAGTTTCGTAGAAAACACCAATTAGAATAAATAAGATAAAGATATTCCAAGGATACAGGTTTATAGTTACCTACTGACAAGCAGCAGAGTGTCCTGATTCCAAATTAGTTTTCCCTAACAACGGAAGAAATTTTTATAGTTTCCAGGCATATTATTACAACAAATATAATGTTCTTTCTACAGAAGTTACATATACAACATTAACCATAACCATAACTCCAACACTACCTGAATGCCATAACCCATACAATAGCCATGCTGAAAACCCTAACCCTAACCCAAACCCTATTCCTACCCCGAAACCCTAACCCTAACCCTAACATGAAATCCGACCCTAACCTTATCGCTAGAGTGAAACAGTAAGCCTAACCCTAAAACGAGCTTAGAAGTACATTAAATGTATGCTTGCTTTTTCTCTGTACGTTAAACCGTGGTCATAGTTTCCAGTTTATCACCGATAAAAAACAGTATCTACTTGCATAAATAAATTCAAAAGCAAACTTTTAGATTTACTTATACAAAGAAGTGAGAAATTGCATAGATAAGAAAGTTGCATTTCTCAGAGAAATGAAGCACTATATTGAGGTTAACAGAAAACACGAATAATATACAATGAGTTCCTACATGAATAACTACCAATGGTAAATGTTAACAGTGACTTACACAAGCAAGAATGTGCGTTAATTTCACAGTTGCTCTTCTCTGACAAGTGAAGCAATGTGTAGAGTTTCCTAGAAAACAACTGAAAGTTACAATAAGTAATATAAAGAAATTCCAAGTGTATATATTTACAGATAATTGCACAAAGAAGTGAAAAAGTACATTACTTAAATATTGCTTATAAGATCAACAGAAGTGTTTATAGTTTGCAATCACATTCGTACAAAACATTCTGTTCTTTCTAAAGAAGTTACATAAGCAATCCTAACATTTACCCCAGCTCAAAATCATAAGCCTAATTCTAACCCTAACCTTATACCTAGCCTGAAACTCTAATCCTAATTTTAACATGGAAACCTATTCCTAACCCTCTTTGGTGAAACCCTAACCGTAACAAAAGTTGAAAACATCACCCTAGCCCTAACACTGTCCTAGCAGGACATTAAATATACGCTTGCTCCTCTCTGAAAGATAAACAATGTTTCTAGTTTCCTGTGAATCTCACATATCGAACAGTATCTACCTTCATAAAGAAGTTCCATATGCAAACATTTACAGTTACTTAAACAAAGAAAGAAATTACATTGATAACAAAGTTGCTTTTCATTGAGAAATGAAGCAGTGTGTAGAGTTTCATTGAAAACACGCATAAAGTACAAGTTCTTACATAAATAACTTCCAAAGGCAAATATTTCCAGTGAGAAAGAAGCGATAATGTGCGGTAATTACACACTTGCCTTTCTCTGAGAAATGAAGCAGTGTGTTGTGTTTCATAGTAAACAGCCCAAAGGTAGAATAAGTTTTAAAGATATTCTGAAGATACATTATTAGAGTTACTTGTAAAAAGAAGAGACAAAATAAATAGACTACAAACGTGCATTTCCCGGAAAATTGACCGGTGTTTATAGTTTCCAGTCACATTTGTAAGACAAATGTAATGTTCACTCTACAGATATTCCACATGCAAAGATAACCACCACCATAACATTAGACATATTGTAAACCATAACCCTAATCCTAACCTAGCACAAAACTCTATCCCTAAGCCTAATGCAACCCCGAAAGCCTAACACTAGCCCTAAAATGAAACCCTAACCCTAACAATAACCCTAGTGTGCAACCCTAACCTTATCCCCAACACTAGCTTAGAAGTACATTAAATATGCGCTTGTTGTTCTATGAACATTAAACAGTGTTTCCAGTTTCCTGTGAAAGACCCATAGGACCTTACCACTTTCACAAGGAAATCCCTAATGAAAACATTAGAGTGAACTACACGAAGGAGTGTGGAACTGCATTGATAACACAGCTGCATATCTCTGAGAAGCGAAGCAGTATTTAGAGTTTCATAGAAAATGTGCATAAGGTAAAAGAAGTAGAGTTTCCATGAAAACACACTAAAGTTACAGGAAATAATATCATAAAGACATTTCAACTATATTAGAGCAATTTAAACAGAGAAGGGGAGAAGTGCATTCCTACAAAGATGCTCTTCCTGTGCGTCAGGAGAGTCTGTAGACTCTAGTCACGTTTATACCGCATTACGCTCTTTCTAAAGAAGTTCCACGTCCCACCTTAAGCCTAGCCCTAGCTCAAAACCCTAAAACTTACCCTGGCCCGAAACAAAACCTTATCCTTATCTGTATCCGCACCCGGCACACTAACACTAACCCTAACAGGAAACAGTGACCCTCGCAGGGACACGAAACACTATCCAACCCGGAAGCTAAAGCCGGACAGCTAACCCTGACATTATCCGAGAATAACATTGAGTATATGCTTGCTCTTCTCTGAGAAATAAACAGTGTTTCTCGTTTCCTGTGATTCGCACATAAGGCACAGTATGTACCGTCATAAAGAAGTCCCAAATGCAAACATTTAGAGTGACTTACACTGAGAAGCAAGAAATTGCATTGAAAACATAGATCCATTTCACTGATAAGTGAAGCAGTGTGTAGAGTCTCATACAAAACACATAAAAGGTACAGTGAGTTATTACACAAAAAATTTCCAAAGGGAAATACGGACAGTGACTTTCACAAAGAAGAGAAAGTGCGCCTTAATAACACATTTGCTATTCTGTGATATCTGAAACACTGTGTAAAGTTTAGTAGAAAACAACCATGTTTTAGAATAACTTATATAATAAAGATATTACAAGGATACATGCTTACAGTTACTTACACAAAGTGACTAAGTGCATTGAACGCAAATGTTCTTTTTCGTGACAATGGAAGCAGTGTTTAGAGTTTCCGAAAACAGTACTATAACACACACAATGTTCTTTCTACAGAAGGTCCATGTATAACACTAACCCTAACTGCACCTGAACACCACAACCCTAACACTAAAACTGTGAAAACCCCAACCCCAACCTTATTCCCACCCCAAAACCCCAACCCTAACCTTAAGACTAGCCCTAGCGCAAAACCCTAACCCTATCACTGGCTTAGAAGTACATTGACTACACGCTTGCTTTTCTCTGAAAGTTAAACAGTACTTCTGGTTTCCTGTGCATCGTACATAAGGAACAGTATCCACTTTCATAAAGAAGTTCCAAACACGCTTTTCCGCCCGCTCCCTCCCTGCCACTGAGCGCGGCTGCCTCTCGGCGCTCGCTGCCGACTGCCGGCTCCTGCCACGCCGGCGCCGCCGCCTCCCTGCAGCCTCCATCAGAGTCATCTGCCGGGACCTCATCAGCCATGACGAGATGTTCTCTGACATTCACTGATCCGAGAGATCGCAGGCGGCCTGTGCCTGGAGGTGGAGGGGAAGACAGTCAGTAGGACAGAGGGCGACATTGATGACCTGCTCGTTGGTGGCAATGTTTCCGCTGAAGGCCCTGAGGGCGAAATAACGGAAAGCACAGTAATCACTGGTGTTGATATCGTCATGAACCATCACTTGCAAGAAACCAGCTTTACAAAAGAAGCCTACAAGAAGTACATCAAAGATTACATGAAGTCAATCAAAGGCAAACTTGAAGAACAGAGACCAGAAAGAGTAAAACCGTTTATGACAGGGACTGCAGAACAAATCAAACAAATCCTTGCTAATTTCAAAAACTACCATGAATCAAGATAGCATGGTTGCTCTACTGAACTACCGTGAGGACGGTGTGACCAAATATATGATTTTAAGGATGGTTTAGAAATGGAAAAATGTTAACAAACTTGGCAATTACTTTGGATCTATCACCTGTCATCATAACTGGCTGCTGCTTGTCACCCACACAACACTAGGATTAAAGACAAATGGGCCTGAAGTCATCTTGAGCTCTTCATTTATCTTCACAGTGATTTATTTGGAGTGGAGGCATTGTTTGTAAGGAAAAAACATTGTCATGTAAGTAGTCTAAAAATAAAATGCATTTAAACTCCTTTTGACTGAATGCCTTTTAGTTTAATACATATTTAAATTAAATCTATAGTGTTCCTGGAGAAGCTAGAGCCTGGTTGTAGGCCAACAATAGCATAAGACTGTCATCAGATACACTCCACAGCGGAAACTACTTCTGGGACTGGACTATAAAAAGGAACCAAAAGTTTTAATTCTGAGTTGCACTAAAGGGAAAAGACCGTGCTCATAGTGTAAACACTTGAAGTAGAGCCCTAACACATTTCATCACCTCCAATGGAAGGAAGTACTAACTCTGGAAGAGATTACCAAGAGAATAAAAAAAGACTAATTCAGTTGGGCAAAAAAAAGAAGTTCCCAATGCAAACATGTAGAGTGACTTACACAAAGAAGTGAGAAATTGCATTGATAACACAGTTGCTTCTGTCTGAGAAATGAAGCAGTGTGTAGGGTTTCATAGAAAACATGCATAAGGTACAATAAGTTCTTACATAAATAACGTCCAAACGCAAATATGCACAGTGATTTACAAAAAGAACCGACCACGTGTGTCATGGCCCGTTTATAAGACGGAAGATGAACACAGAACACAAAACACTAACACAACAAAAAACAGAGAAACACGTACAAATGGTTGACTCGAGTAATAATACACGGGGTCCGTTTTATTTTTATACTCTAAAAGATTAATGTTATTTCCTTGTTCGTAAGCACCCAGGCGTGGCAGCGATAGCCATAAATTCCGGAGAACGTAGGTTTAGGGAAGCAGAATGCCCTGACTCAGATTCTCAAGGAGGTTGCTCTAGGCACTAGGACTAAAGGACTGAGATTAGCAAGGGTGGGCAAGGTGAGCCTCAGGGGGCATTTCTCATCCACAGCTTCTCTTAGGGTGACCCCCTAAGATCGTCAGATGAACCCAGGCTCCTGTGCCTGGCTTAAGTTGCGCCTCCATTGAGGGGTGTCTAACCCATCATTGACGAACCAGCCATCTTATGGGGTGTACGCAGCAATCACAGGAACAATATATTTCTCGTGTGGCCTCCAGACCCCCAATGCTGTGCGGTGGGCGCTCTTGCTAGTTGAAGCTCAGGTCCTTTGTTATGCCTCTGGGCAACACCTTTGTTTATCACAGGGAGTCTGTCAGGAACAGATGACTTTCAAACACTGGTCAGAACACGTATAATACTAATTCTTTTTTTTTTTTTTTTTTGAGACAGAGTCTCACTTTGTTGCCCAGGCTACAGTGAGTGCCGTGCCGTCAGCCTAGCTCACAGCAACCTCAAACTCCTCCTGGGCTCAAGCGATCCTCCTGCCTCAGCCTCCCGAGTAGCTGGGACTACAGGCATGCGCCACCATGCCCGGCTAATTTTTTTGTGTGTGTATATATTTTTAGTTGGTCAATTAATTTCTTTCTATTCTTAGTAGAGACGGGGTCTCGCTCAGGCTGGTTTCGAACTCCCGACCTCGAGCAATCCGCCCGCCTCGGCCTCCCAGAGTGCTAGGATTACAGGCGTGAGCCACCGCGCCCGGCCTAATTCTTTAATCCCATGTGTAACTTTAATTCTGAAACTAGAAAAATATGTCAGTCCTCTATATCTCCCCATATCTTATTTAATTTTGAAGAGGAACACGCTGAAACACAGCCATTATTTTGTCTTTGCTGTTGCCAGGTAGCTTGCATTTTTTTCCAGCATCAGTAGATTAAGAACACAAAACATTATACAAGGAGGAGAACACCCAAATTACTTTCCAATACTACTAAGCATAGTTTTTTTTAATGAAGCCAATGGAAAGGCCTGGACCATCCACTGGCCAGGCCAGAAAAGAAGTCATTATTATTAAAACCTGGCAAATTGTCTTGGAAAGCAGAGGTGATTTCTTGTTCTAATTTTTGGAGGTCACTATATTGGTTTCAGCTTCCATTTAACAATTTTCATAATGACATCGAATGTCAACTACTATTGAAAGGCATAGGAGTGACACAAAAATGGGAAGACTTCTAATCACAACAGAGAAAAAGATTTTGTCAAACCTGAATTTGGTCTCCTGGCCACTGAACTGTAAGAACGGCTGAGGAAGCAATAGCTATTAAGCCAAAGACTGCCACGCTTAGTAGACTAAGGACAGGTTTTGTTTTACAATCCAGAGAAGTTATTTTATTTAAAAGAGTGGTGACCCGGGCTGAATCACCCCAAGGTCAAGATAGGTCGACAGGCTACCATATCTCCGTATGAACCTTGAGAATATATAGACTATGTAAGGATTTGTTAAAAGTAGCCCATGGAGTGAAGTTTATACAAGTAAATAGGGCACAATTCCCATGCAAGTCAGCTTTCCTGTAGACTGGCTCGAATAAACAGTTCCCATGTGTAAAAGATAAGGACAAGGAACGCATGCCAATAAAGTTTTAGAATGCCGATGCTGGAGGTGTCTTTTAAGCCTCCGTTCTCTTCTGAGGACATATTTCCTACCCAAATTTTGAGATTTCCTTTTGTAGCCAAGGGTTTCTAGACCTGCCTTTGTTTTTCTGACCCACTGAGTGAAGCTGTGGAGGGGAAAGGCCTTTATCATGCCAGATAACCTCCTCATTAGCAATGGCCTCAACAGTGTCTTGATAAACATGCCAGCATAAGGAGTGACCAGAAAACTTTTCTTTTAAAGTCACCACAGGGGCTCTAGTCAACAATCAGGATTATTTTGTACTTCTTTTAGAACTTTACTTCTATATATGCTCCACTCAAAATGAGTTAAGGGAGGTTTAAGATGAGGCATGGAGCAAAGCCGTAAGCGGGGAGGTCTTCCTGTCAAATTACACATTACCCCCTTAAAACCTTTCATGGATAATAATGTAGTGCGGGTAGCAAACGAGGTGGAATTATAGTGCAAACCTCATGCTTTATATGAATGTTAAGCACTGTTCCCCAGCCCCAAGGCAAACGAGGTAGCCTTGAGCATAAGTGAAATAATTGAAAACTACCCCCCACCCTTCATCCTCAGGAGGCGGTGACTGATATTGAAATGGAGGTGGCACCAATTTTGAATTCTTAGTATAGACAAGGACGTTGGGCTCTCCTTATGACACTGCATTAAAAAGGGGAGGATATGGAACCTAAGCCCAATATATATACTAAGCATTAACAGAATCAACCTGGCCAATTACAGAGGAATATAAGATTAGCAAGGAGGCAGCTTGGCTAAGGAGCAGCCACATTGCCAGCATTACTGCCTGCGTTCCCTTCTTTTGTTTGGGGCACTTCTGTCCCATCTTGTGTGGTTTCCTGGTGTGGATATTGTCTTTTGAGTCATCGTACAGGAACTCTCTCAAAACCGTGTCCTGTGGAAACGTAAGCATATACTCGCCCCGAGTGAAGAACTTTTTCCTCAATCCATCCTCTAGTAGGAGCAGCATGCACAGGGTCCCAGGCCTACTGCAAAGGAGGGGAAGAAGCAAAATGACGCTCTGCTGTTGAAGTATGTAGGTCCTGCCAAAGATTTATTTATTTTTTTTTTTTTTATTCTAACCCCTGAGCAGTACAAAGATTTAAAAATTAAGGGCACAGAGGGCACAGAGTAAATGTCAGTGAGATTTCTTAACTCTTCCTTTTTCTTGAGAGTACGATTGACATGTTTAATGATGGCTTGCCTTGGCTGTTAAAAGGAATTTTAGTAATATGTTGAATGGAATATAATGTTAAGAACTTTGCAAGTTTTCGGGAGGTATAAGCTGTAGCATTATCTGTTTTTAATGTCGCTGGAAGTCTCATGAGAGCAAAACAGAATAAGGATGAGTAATAGCCTCATCGGCCTTTTTAGTGCTGTAGCCCACTAAAAATGAGAATAAGTGCTATTCGAATGATGCACGTACCACGCAACTCTCGTGGGTTGCAACCAGTGGCGAGAGAGGGAACAGTGAGAGGGGCGCAGGCGGACCACAAGTGGATAATTGCAGGAGCTTGTTTTTTGGAGAGAAAAATTCCTTGTTGAAGGCTTTTAGCATTAGTAAAGTTTACTTTGCTGGACTGATGGAAAAGGAGAGATAACAACTCTTGGCACCTGGGAACTCCAATAACCAATTCTGCGAGTGCTGGAAGCATCAGTAAAACAAAGTAAAAACAAAGTAGGTGAGATAACTACTTTATGGCCATTTTACATAGAATAATTTTAGGTTTTATACTGGCTTTAGGGAAGAATTTATACAAGAGGCAGACAAGGACAGAAATTTTTTTCTTTGAAGCCTTTAAGTTAGTTATTTGAATCCCATCAACATAAGATCACCTGGCTGTAGACGGAGGGAAAAAACTTTTAGCAACAACTGTTAGCACCTCAAACAATAATACAAAGTGGTAACATGCTTTTTACATGAGGATCAAGCTTATTTACCAAAGGTTACTAAATTCACGTGAAGCATTTGGGTTAAATTTATGAGCGCTCACTTAAATTTAAACTGGTCCGGAACCATATAAGCACAAACACGTAATACATGGACAGACATAAAACATACCCAAACATATACACTCTCCCACACACATATACACACACAAAGTTTCTATAAATTTTACCCTAGAACTCTAGACATGAAATGGTAACCCAAACCCACCAGTCTGTAAAAGAAAGCAGGATCTAAATTTCTTCTGATGAGACTGGAACTTATTCACATGGCAAACTTAGTCGCTTTTGCTTGATAGGTAACCTAATTAGGCCTGTGGCTCGAAGTTTTGGGTAAAGCAGTTTTTATAGTGATTTGATTTTTTTTTTAAAAAGCTAGAGATTTATTGTTATTTTGTGATTAATAAATCATCAAATTGGTTATG